GCAATAATAAGAATTTGAAAAAATTTGTAATTTTTATAAACAAGAACTATTTTAAATGATTGTAACAATCTTCTGTAACTGTGTTAAATTAAAATTCCTATTTTTTAATATTGAACTTTGGGGAAAGCTCTTATACTGTAACACTGTATATATTGTACCCCACATATATACTGTTCAGTATATAAACACCCGATATATATTGTAGTAATAGTAATACAGTATATATCATACTCGATAAGTTGTAAGTATTTAAATAAACATTTTATTTAGTAAGCAACGTCAAGACAATGTTTAAAGTAACTAATCCTCTAAAGTGGAATTAGCAACTTAGCAATATTTCGTGCCAGAATGAAAATTTAACTCTTGTTTACTAGCCGCAGTCTACTAAAAGGCAGATTTGAGGGTCATGTTCCATCCATCTAATAGGGAAGTTTAAGGAAAATTTATCTAAGAAATCTGACAACAGCTTTGAATAACGTACACAAATGTGCATAACGCATACAAAAAAAGGTTTATCACCTTTAACTGCACAAAGTAATAGTTTTTTTATGAAGCTGCAAATTTTACAGCTTAAAATAATCTTGAAAATAACTCAATAGATTAAATTTGAATGTTTGATGACAAAAGAATGGAAGAAATAATTTAAAATAATTCTGAAATTAAAACAAAGATTAAGAATGAAATTTAGTAAATAATAAAAGCGAGCAAGTTGTACATAAAGTAGAGAAAACGAAAAATCTCCCCTAGCGCTTTAGCAAGATCATGTAAAAAGGGACAAAATGAAAAGATACAAAAAAATTTTAGACCATTCAAATTTTTGATAAAATACAAACCTTTGCGTTTCTTTATTAACCTTTATTATTGAAATACTGTTATTTATATAGTGTATTGAATTTATTGTACTTACGCGTAATATCTGTAAATTGGAAACTAATCACACTTTGTTTAAATTTCGAATTAGTTTTGAATTAAGTAGTTTATAGTAATAGGCTACCGGTTCTTAAAATTTTTAGATTTTTTTTATTTATTTTCTTTTTTTGCAGTTTTATATTTTTGACACATTATATAATAACAAAAAAAGTTTCTCTTTTTTAAAAATTTGAAATTAGTTTCGGAGTAATTAAATTTTAAAAATTTTACGAGAAAAATATTCGGTATTTAAACTATTCATTCAGTCTAAGGTATCACGATAAAATTGCAAAATTTTAAAAAGTTTACAAAATTTTATCACTTATTATAAAACTATTTTTCATTGTTTCACAAAAATAATTGTCCCGCAGTGGACTGATCGTTAAGACACGGTTCCCAGCAGATCACCGAAGTCAAGCATCACTGGCTGCGGTCAGTGTGCGGGTGGGTGACCACTTGGATTAGTCTGCTTAGGAACCGAGGGTGTGTGGTATTGGTCTTCGTTAAACTGTTCTACGGTAAAGTGCTCGACTTCGCGTGCAAATCGGACTACCGAAGCCGTGTGCCATCCCGTCTGCAGAGGATCAAAATTGTGATGGCATGTCTTCGGATCATCCTCAGGGATGTTTCCCAGACCGTCGCCAATAGCCCATTGTGCAACTCTAGTGCGACGTAAATGAACTACAACAACGCAAATAATTACTAAAGCATTTCGGTGAAAATTACCGAGCTGTATGCTGTTTCCATAGAGAGAAACACTAAAATTTTCTATTTTTTGGAAGTTTTGACCATCTTTCTTAGTGTGGTGCATTTTAAAGATTAACAAAAATGTGCATTTTTTACATCGTTTGGACATTACGATGCCAAATATTCTTCTTTCATTTAAAAAAAAAATTGATTATTTTTAAGGCAGGGTCTAAATACATAGATAATTCTGTTTTTATTTGGTATTCGACGATATATGCCGATCAAATTATTTGTTCGATTTGTGAGATAGTAGAAAAAAAATACTTATATCTTCATTTATCAAATGGTTCATTAATTGCTTTATGTATTGACTAAAATAAGTATAAAATCGTTAAATCAGTAATATATTGCTGAAAAAATTATAACAGAATAATTTACACAGAATAATTTAAAACAGAATAATTTACTCTTTTTACAGAAGTAAATGAATTGCATCCATATATATAATTTATTCTACAAAGATTGCGGCTTTTTACCTTTTCCGAATTCAACAAATGTATTTTAAAAAATTCCAATAACTTATATTCAATATTGAGCAACGCTTGCTGAACTGAACTGTTCATTTTTTCGAATAATAAATGAAAGTGTTAAGTTCCGTTTATTTTTATGAATTTAAATTGTTTCACTTTGGTTATAGCAAATCTATTTCCTTAGCAGTTCGTAAATTTGACTAGTAAATTAATTAAATGCTTGTTTGTTGATATATTACACAAATCATACTCGTTTTCTTAACTGCCACTTTTTAAGTTTTTTTTTCCTTTTTTTTTGTGGTAGTGAAATATAAATTGCAACAATAACTAAGCTTAAATTTCATCAACACCTAAAATCACGCAAATGATTACCAGATAGTATTTTGTGGGTTGAAATTAATTAGTTATTTATGATCGAGATAATCTTAAATTTATTAAAAAATAAGAATGATTGAGAAATTTTCCTTTTTGAAATTTTTAATTAGTTTCTGAGTAAATTTTAAGGATTTTGCACAGAGAAAAAAAATGTCGGTAAAATTATCGCTCTCTACGGTAAAATTGTTCTGTCTTTTCTGTTTAAAAAAACAAACTTAATTTTGATATTACAAACGAAAATATAAGGTATTTAAACTATTCATTTGGTCTAAGGCAGAGGTCGTCAAAGTGGTCTATATAGACCCCCAGGGGTCTATTTAACATAAGCGGGGGTCTATCCGAACCGGAAGGGTCGATTGGTCGAAGGATTATCAGTATTTTTCAGATATGTGACAATTAGAAATAAAAGAAGATTTGGAAATATATACAGGTAATCTTCGAAAATTGAGCGACGATTTTAAATTGCGTTTTGTTGATTTGGAAAACATTGACATCCCTGATTGGATTATTGTGCCATTTTCTGCTCAAATTGAAAACGTGGACATCAACCTGCAAGATGAGCTTGCTTAATTATTATGGGGATTTGAAGCAAACACACTTTTTAAAAATTTAACAATAAGCAAATTTTGGACAAATATAAATATAATGCGAAAATATGTAAGAATTTACGAAATAGCTCAGCCATTTATGATAGCATTTCCAAGCTCCTATATGGTTTAAGCCGGTTTCAGTCATGTAAATTCAATCTTAACTAAGAACAGAAATAAATTAAATGTGGAGTTTCGAGGGGATTTAAGATTAAAATTGACCAATTTTGAACCCAATATAACGAACCTTGCAGGGGAAAAAACACCAGGCACACACATGTCATTGATTAAGAAGCAATAAATCCGTAGTTACTTTACTTATTATTTCTACTTACTTATAATTACTTATTATTTCATAAATATTAAGGTATTTATATTTCAACATTAATATATTTTTCATGAAACTATTGTTACACTATGTTCTATTACTTTAATAAATGTCCAAAACCATAAATGTACAGACACAGTATCTAATAGTTTTATTTTAATTAACAGAAAATTACTTTTATGAGGGTCGATGGAGATTTCGAAAAATTATGTAGGGATCGATGATCAAAAAAGTTTGGCAACCCCTAGTCTAAGGTATCACTATAAAATTACTAAATTTTACCTAGTTTACCAAATTTCATCAGATATTATTAAATCATATTTTAATTCATATTTTAATTGTTAATTTTACTACAATCATTACCAAAGCGCTTCGATGAAATGATTTTTGTGTTCCTATTGAGCCAGAAACACTGTAAACTATTCCATTTTCTAGTAGGTTTGACAATACTTTTTCTAATTTCTCAGCGTGGTGTTTTTTACACAATCCAGAAATTCTAACAATATTTGAGTGTTTCTTTACATCGTTTGGGCATAATGTCAAATATTTCTATTCCATTAAAAAAAAAATAATTAGGTTTAATTTTATGAGGGGCTTAATATCTAAAATATTCTATTTTAGTTGGAATTCAACGAGATTTGATGATCACCACATTATTTGCTTTTCGGTTTTTGGGATAGTAAAAAAATTACACATTTATCAAATGGTTCATTACTTGCTTTACGTACTTATTAGAATAAGTATAATATCGTTAAATCAGTAATATATCGGTGAAAAAAAGAATAAATGAAAGAGAAAAGAATAGTAGAAACAGATTTTTTCTTTCATTGAAGCAATTGAATTATACATATATACTTTATAATATTTCGGCTTCTTACCTTACTGTTTCAAATTTGATAAATGTAACAAATCTATTTCCTTAGCTGTTAGTAAACTTAAAGATTAGTTATGTGCTTGCTTGCGTTTTAGACAAATCTTATACTTATTTCTTAGTTTCATACTTTTTAAGTCTTTTCTAATGGTAGTTGTGACAATAACTGTAAGCATAAATTTCTTAAATTTAATCAACACATAAAATCACGTCAATGATTGCCAGATAGTTTGTTTTAATAAATTAGGTATTTACGATTATTAAGAATCTTTTAAACCAAATTTATTAAGCAAAGAATAAAAAATTATTCGATTAAAATTATGATTAAAATTATAATTAATTCGATTATAATTCGATATCGATAAAAAAATTATGATTCGGTCAAATTAGGAATTTCATTAGGCAAAATCAGAATTTCCCCTCTCCTAAAAATTGAATGTAGCGGAGCGCTTGCATGTAAAATTATATGCATGAATTACTGCATAGCATTGTTGGAAAAAAACTATAAAATTCATTAAATTAAAAACACATTTCGCGGGCTTCAGTCGAGGGGATCTAACTAAAGAATATAGAGGGGACCTTTCTATATTCTTTGATCCAACGCATGCGCAATAAATTTCCGGGGTTTTCCTCCAAAACCACATATTTTGCGCACACTGTACACGTGATTCGCGGTGGAAGAAAATGACAATGTCTTCCTACAGCAGCGCTCCACGCGGTGAAGCGGTGATCCGGCAGGAGAAAAGGACGCGCGAACAAGGTCATCTTCGCCCTCTCCCGGCTCGTGTCCAACCTTGGCAATCCGATCGGTAGCAAATAAAGGACGAACGCTCTTATCATTCAGCTGGACTCGCTCTATTTGTATTCCCAACAGGTGTAATTATCAACTGAAGGTAAATTTTGGCTCTATTTCAGTAATATATTTACATGTTTACTTCACATTATTTAGAATTCTCTGATTACCTGTCGATCTGATGTTTATATTTATTTCGAATGAATAATTTTGCTCTATTCGGACACCGGATTCTTTTCATGTAGAAGTAGGGATGGAGGAATATGTGCCTTCAAAGATTTTATTTTTTTTGAAAAGTTTGATCAAAAATTTTTCTGGTTAATCAAATAGTGTCCTATTACATACGGAAAGAAAATTAAAAATATTTTAATTATTAATTTAAAGACTGGAAAATTTTTTGTTTTAGTTGTAAAAACCTTAAAAATTATTTTAAATATTGTATTATAATAACTCAATTTTCTGTAATGTATTTAATTTATTCCTAAAATTAATGGTATGTTATTTTTTTTAAAATTTAATACTAACGCTCCATAAAAGAACTGAGAAATTTTTTTTTCTAAGTTAAATTTTGAAGGAAAAATTGAGTATTTGATATTTTAGTAAAAAATATAGTTATGGACTAACATGCAGTATAGGTTTGTCGGAATTAAAATGATTAAAAGTCTAAGTATTTTAAGGTAAATTGTTTTAAGTCAGTAAATTTAAGATTTTTGAAATTGGGCTCTACGTCACACCTGTAGAAAAACTAATACTTAAAACAAGTTATCATCGTCCCCTTATGTCAGGGACGAGCTTAATTTAAGCTCCACTGAATGATTGGACAAAATGTTTCAAGTAACACATTGCATAAGGTTAGTAGAGGTATTAACTTGAGAGCTCACACCTCCGCAAAGGAGAAATTTTTTAATGGATTTTATTACTTCACGTTCAATTACTAACAATTTATGAAGGTAGTTTTGTAAGTCCGAAAGTATGTAATGAATATAATTGTAATTTACGTTTGAAGCATTTTATGAAATTTATTTTTCAAATATTAATTTATTTAGTTAGAAATTTATCAATTTATGTAGCTTATTTATTTTAATAAGCAAGTTGTATTACTGACAGATCTTTTGAAATAACATAAATTTATAAAATTCTCAGTTCAAAAGAAAATTTTTTATAAATTGGTAGGTGAAACTGCAGGGTACTACAAGTATGCAATGTTAGTTACAATGACTAACTGTTAACAGCTCATATTTGATTAACTTGATATTTAATTCTGAATATATACTGAGTTACTTAAAACTATTAACCGTAAACACTTGCTCACAGAATTCTTTAACCTTTTTTAATTTTTAGGTTTGTGACCTTAAATTTGTATAATTTTTTAATCGGGGGACGTAATAATTATAATACTAATAAAAAAATATCAAAGGATAAGTTTTTTTTATCCTTTAGAATAAATTACTGAGGTGAAACGTTTGCAAAAAAAAAGTTAACCTTGAGACTTTTTTCAACGAAGAAATAATGTTCAGGTTACATTCTTTCAACCTTTCTTTCCTTCACTTAATAGTTAGTAATTTTTGTAAAAAGAACCATTATCTTCAGTACAATATTTAGGTACCAGACAGAATTATATACTACTACCTGATGTGTATAGTATATTTAGGTATACTATACACCTGAGCCTATTCGGGCGAAAATTCCCAACAGAAATTGGTAGAGGAGTAGTGATTCAATTATGACTCACTAATTTAACGGTGACTCGATTCATTACCTTGAAATTGCAACCAAACAGAAAGTAAAAATTTGAGTGATAATTTTTTCATAAATGACAATAAAAGAATATTAATATTTTTATATTGCTGAAAAAATAAAAAGAATTTAAAATTTATGTTTATGCAAATTTGGATTAACCATGGATTAGAGCAGTGTTTCCCAAAGTGTGGTACGCGTACCCCCAGGGGTACGGGAACAGTTTAGTGGGGGTACGCGTTCTAATGCGAAATATCTTGCAACAAACGAAAATTTCTTTTAAAAACAAAGCTAGCCATGAAAATTTACGATTGCGTATTTTTCTTTTGGCTAGTTTTGCAGAGTTAACAGTTAATAATTAGTGGTGTCAACAGCCAGTCGTGATTTTTTACTTTTGTGCAATTTTTTTATAGTAAAAAATACATTCATTTTTCTATTAGTGGTACGCAGCGTTACGAAAAATTTAGGAAGGGTACACAAAAGTCATAAGTTTGGGAAACACTGGATTAGAGAATCATTCTCATAACTGATTTGTATCTTATTGGCGATCAGTTTTGCTGTTTTTCTGAGTGTTGAAAGGTGTCACTCTACCTTTTCTTTTATCCGAAATGTCTTTCTCAGAACATTTCATTTTTCAGAAATTTTAAATCTACTCATAAGTATTTTTTATTTTATTTATTCGCGCAGTAGGTGGGAGAGGGTAAAATATGAGAATATATGTAAACTGTGATGGAAAAAATGAAATATGTATCGATCTTGCTCTTAATGGCAAAGCTACGAAATTTTTCCTATTCAAAATTCAAGAAGAGTGCGTAAATTTTTTTACTATTATTAAATCTAATATTTTTCTATGCAATTGCTTACATAATTTATTAACGTTTAATGCATCTTCCGTTAGTTATAAAATTATTTTCACAAAGTTCACGGGCTTCTAAGACTTTACTCTAGTATTACATCAATTTGTTCGTACCTAGTTTAAAAATATCTGGTATTTCGACAGAACTCGGATTGTAACTTTTATGCATCCTAAGTCATTAGAATAAGTCAAAAAACGCAGTAGTTAAAATGAATGTGTTTTGTAAAAATGTACCAACTTATCAAGTAAAAAATGCATGTAACTATGGTTTTAATTTTAAAAAAATATTTAGGTAAAAGAAATTTTTATTTACAAATAATATGCTGTTTGCCTTTTAGAATACACTGGGTTGGCATTAGAAAAAAAAATAGAATTCAGCACCATATATTAAATGTCTTGTTAATAAATAAATCATCACTTTGGCATTAATGATTGACGCTTGTATTTATGCTCATCCCCCCCCTCGTAAATGCTACGCGTCGAATAAAAAGAAAATTTCGAATTTATGATAATTTTCATTTATGTTTATTACAATAAAACAAATTCGATATTTGATTCTAAAAACAATCGAATATCTGTTTTATTGCTTGTGATAATCGCTCTTTTCAATCACCTGTGTCTTGATTTGTTTGAATGAAAGAGAACGATTACAGTTTCGCAAACATTTAAGAGTAATTAAAAAATGTATCAATATACGTTCACTTTTATCAAATAGGAAGAGACTGGCCGGTTAAATCACCTCGTGACCTGATTTTTGAACTTCATTCGTTGTAGTTGAGCTTTCAATATAGTATCATTTTATGAGTTGTTTTAATTTTTTTTAATGGAATTATTTTATCACCGTTGCTACTCGGAAGAAACAGTTCGGTGTAATTATTTTTACAGTAATTAGTCTCGTATAGTTAAATATCTGAATAGGTAATGAAACTAAACTTTTTACAGTACTCTGATTTGGTCTGGTAAGACTCTCATTTTTAAAATGACCTTATGGATTGTACTTTTTTAAATCGAACAAATAGTAGGTTTTTAAAACTTATTATGAGAAATTTCAATTTGATTTTGTCAAGATGGATGTTTGAATTTTAATCATACAATTCTTTTTATATGTTAGATTTTTACAGAATTTCTAATTTTTAACAGTGATTTTGCCAGTTTTCTAAATGTTATCAGACATTTTCCATTTTCATAGCACATAAACGTAGATGGGATTTTTGGTGAAAAATTGTTAATTTCTTTGCGATCGTCACGCGTATTCTTTTAAAATAAAATTTTTTTAAATTTTAGTTAACTATTTTTAAAACCTCTTGAATAGTAGACCTTATTGTTCCGTACTAAAAAGCGATTTAGCCTCATAAAATGTATTAAACTTCCGGTGGTAGACTGGCTCTATTTTTAAATTTGAAAGAACGCGTTAAAAAATACCCGTTCTAAATTTTGCTCCAGACAGTTGCATCCGATGGCGCTTACATTTTTATGAATGAAAAAAAAAATGTAGGCTCGTTCAATATATTTACATAACTTATCATTACTAACATAAATTTGGTTTATTTGAGAGTTGGGAATTATTTTTATGGAGTGTCTTAGTTTTTAATGGTATAGTTTATTTATGGAGGTTCAATATTTATTCCAGGCAACATACTTATTATTCTAAAACTTACTAAGAGTTAGAACCGAAATATCCTATCACGTTAAAAGAAAAGAAAAATATGTGTATAGTTTCTGGTGCTAAAAGTATTTGAAGGAAATTTTGCATTTCGCAATGGTTGAAATATTTATTTTCAAAAATATAAATTTTATCGGTGGGAGGGTAGACTTTATTCTTTCGATATATTTTTGTTTAAAAATCTTTCCGTATATATCACATGATTCAGGGTAATTCAGTGAAACGATTTGAAGTACTATAAAAATAGAAGTTGCAATTGCATCAAAGCAATAAGTAAATTTAAACCAGCAAATCCTTTCACTTGATTTAAAACTGCTATATTTTATTAACATACTTTAAACAAACAAAATTTTAAACTCGTGTCTCCATAAACAAGGTGAAGTAGATAAAATAAAAATCACATGATTATCCTATATAAAGAGGGATATATGTTAAATGTATGGATACATATTTTTAAGATGCTAGGCTTTGACCTCCCAAAAATTTTCACTATTTGGGAATTTCGGCAAATTCAGGTTTTGTCCAATTTGAGTTTTTAACAAATAAACGGCCGTTTAAAGACTGTTCCTTTCGTCTCTGTCAAGAGCGAACATTCTCTTCGAAAATTTCAAATTCTGACAAATCTTATGAAAATGAGAAATTATGAAACATCAACTATGTAATGATATTTCAGTGCAAAAAGGAAAAAAAAATTCCACAACTACAGATGACCGTAACATGTTTTAAAATCCAGAATTTTTCGCTTTTTAGAATGTAACTAGATATCTTCCTCTTAGTTCAATTTTATTTCTACTTTTCTCTTTGAAATCTCTCGTAATTTCAGATTTTTGTAGTTTTTGACATT